GCATTTCAACCAAGGGAATATTTTCACTGGATTGTGTGACAAGGGGAAAAGGAAGTTCTTCACCTCCCCGTTTTAGTTAAGGCTCACTTGATCAAAGTGCAAGCAACCGTATGCTTCTAGATGAGTTCTGCAGGGTTGTCATGAAGTTCTCTTCATACCTTATTAAGCACTGTGCTCTTTCTGAGGACTCACAGTATAACGTTGACCAACTAAATAAAGACCCAAAGGCACTGTGAGATACTATTCCAGGTAATATTTTTCTGTGGATTTCTGGAAATCATCACAATATGACTCACTTCTTGAAATCACACCTTGCATGAGAGGCTCTCGAAGGAGGAAAACATAGCTGTTTACCTGTAGCTGTTATTCTTTGAGACTTCTTTGTTGTATAGACTTTCACCTTGTAGCTTTCCCCTTTTTAGCCCCTATAGAATTTGGAAATCTCTAGGTGAAAAGAAAATACAGAACTCTTTACATAGTCAAATGATCCTAATTTGTAGAAGGCATGTCCTCCTGGATACTGCTAGCATAAAAAATAAACCTGGGTTATAGTGTAGATGTAGTCACACTCTCAACATATGCATCAGTAATATATCTCGAAGAGCAGCCCTGGTATAATGGCTTGTCTGTTGCAGGATTACCCACGGTCAGGGGGACTGAACTCTAATCTAGGTCTGAAAGGAACTACTTTGTGCCTGGCAGTTCTTTTAATGTCTGTGATTTGCCCTGGCAGGCCCCCAGGATTTGCTTAGCATTGCTCTGAATCTATTTTTCTCACTACTTAGTGAGACTTCTTGATTTTTAGGTGTAGATACATCATGTCTGGCTTCCCAATGCACACAGCATATGTTTATAAAATCTTACATTCAGGCCTTTTATTTAGGAATAAACAGTCTGCATCTTTTTACAGTGAACGGGTTGCTTTCAGAGTCTTGTACTTTCTTTTGGATGTTCTAAGACTTGAAAACATCACTATCCCAAGGATCCAAAATAAAATAGCTCTTTGTAGGAATTTGAGCCATATTTTTGGGTTCTAAATTAACTAGTCATTGAAGAAGAATAATCTTGGTATCATTTTCAGCACTTTTGCTGAGGCTGAAGGGGGCATTCCCACTGACTTTAATTTGTGTGGGATCCTGGGCCATTGTACTCACTCAGTGAAAATCTATTTGCAATTACAGTTATTATCTGATTTACGGGTTGCATGTGGTTTTTTTTGGTTTTGATTTTTCTAAAGCAAACAATGTCAGGGCTTTTCTACAGGAAACATTATCATGTTCTGTTTTCTTTCTAGATAAAATTTGCTTCCTGACTGATAAAAGGCTTATTAGAGACAGTTCTGTAGAGAAGCATAAACTTGTGTTAGCATTTACCTGTGCACTCCTGTTTAACTGGAACTAGATAATCATTGAGGCACCAGGGCTCTGTACTAGAAATGAAACTAATAAATTAATAAAGAAGTGATTTGCTGGCTTTGTGAACAGATGGCACATCACGGTCCATGTTAATATAAAGAACTATTTTTTCCCCCCCCCCCCCCAAACACACACAAACAAAGCACCTATTGGGAGTATCCCTGTATCATCCATGCCCAAGCTTTTGTTGAGGAGAGTGCTACCTTAGTTGGCCCAAGATCATAGCGGGGACAATGCTAACAGTTTAACTATATGGACAGTTGTGGCCTCATTCAGGCCCATTGCCATTCTCTGTTCAGTTTATAAGTATAGAGGTAGCCAGATCTGAGATGTTTAAGTCTCTGCAGCATGAGGGGAGAGCCCAGGCACCACTACTCTGCTGGGATCTTGCTGTTGTGAGCAGCATCTTTGGAGAGCTAGCCCAACTTTTTGCCTCCAGGATGCAGTTCTTTGAAGTGTACTGGGAGTCTGTACTTTTCCATGGAATCCCATTGAGGGTTAGAGCTTGCAAATTTACTATCAGCAGAGGCTAAGGGCAAGCAAGCAAACATCCATTCAGAAACATGCAGAGTTTCTGAATGAATTCTGCTTTCCTTTAGTCCTGATGGACAAAAACTTGACTCATGAGTCAGCAATGTGCCCTTGTGGCTAATGGTACCCTGGGCTGCATTAGGAAGAGCATTGCGAGCAGATCGAGGGAGATAATCCTCGCCATCTACTCAGCCCTGGTGAGGCTGCATCTGGAGTACCTTCCTTGGAGGTACTCGAAAGCCATCTGGACACGGTCCTGGGCAACCAGCTCTAGGTGACCCTGCTTGAACAGGGGCATTGGACTAGATAATCTCTAGAGGTCCCTTTCAACTTCAACCATTCTGTGACTGAGCATGCATTGTCCCCCTCTCCCCCCCCGCCCTGAGAAAAATCCTGAACACTATCCTGCTGTTCAGGGTCATTTTCTCTTTGGAAGGTCTCACAAAGTCTGCATGTGTTCAAGAGAGCGTTTCTCATAGGGTTTGCTGTGATCTCCCTTACCTGAGCTGCTGAAGACAGATGATCGAGTTGCCAAATTCTTTCTTCTCTATAAATCATCAGTACTTGTCAGTTGATTTCTTGATGAGTCTCTTATCAAAAGATCAGATATCTGCCAATTGACTTTGTTTCCAAGGCAACCGCTCTCTTGACAAGCCAGTTCCCCTCAATAATAGGTAACATTCTTTTAAGAGTAAGTTGATTACTTTTTAACTGCATGGTTCTTAACAAGGGAGTGCTGCTTGTAGTTTCAGCTGTACAAGAAAGTGAAACGATAACAAAGAAGCAAAAGTATCTGTTTCTACAATGCAGTTGGCAGCATGGTAAAGATGCATAAAGGGATTTCATAGTCTTACAAAATTCATAAATTGTGCATGTTCCCTAAAGATCAGTATGCCTGCCAGTCAGTCTCGCTTATATACATATTCAGTGTATGCTGTGGCTGGAAATAATGAGAGTTCCAGTTAGCTGTTTAAGGTATCAGGACATATTTCCCAAAAGGACAGATAATTCTGTGAATGCCAGCACTACAGCAATCTGGTTTCCTACACGTTTACATCTCAGCTGATTGATCTTGGTGCTTAAGAAGGCATGGGATCTTTGTTTCTCTTTGTTTCCCTTCCTATTTCAAACCTTTTCATGGTCCCCTGCGTGTGGAGTCTCTATCTGATAAGTGTTCAGGTTACCACATCCTTTGCTTCAGGATCTCTTCTATTCAGCAGTTTTTGTTTCCTACAAAACTCGTAGGATTGTCTGTTGAGGTTTCTTGGATTCATCCTATGGATTAAGTTTTTTAGGGAAAAGGCCCTGACAAGATATTGTTACATAACTCCTTTAGTGAGGAAAGCAAGCTCAAGATCCGTATTAATATAGGCAGATGATATCGTCATGCCTACATATCATTCTTAAGAGTGAATATAGCTGGACTAATCTCAGGTGACTGAAGTAGTTATCCTCTTGCCTGACCAGCCTCCTTTCTGGAGTTTGTAGGCTTGACTTCGAGGATGGCTAAGCCTCATGGAATCAATTATTGAACTTTCAAAGTCTGTAGGACAAGGTATTCAAATGAAACCAGCTTTTATTTGTTTGTGTTAATATTCTGAACTGCTGTCAATATTTAACATGTACCGTAGCAACCCTCTTTCCTAGTATGTGCATAGGCAGATGTTGTTCTGTTTTTAGAGATGCAAGTTTTCTTGTATGGTATTTTTTGTTGTTGTTTTTGTTTAAGCATTGCTTCCCCAGAAGAGTGGGAATTGCCATGTATGAGCTGAAATAATTTCAAGACGATTTGTGTAAACATTTGGATTTTAGAGCACTTAATTCCTCATAGTTTAAAAAGAAAGCATTATTCACTGTTAACCATAATGAAGCAAGTGTTTCTCTGTAATGTAATTGCTTGGGAAATTTTTGACTGATTACAATCAGCTATCCAGTGTCTTTTGTAGGGAGGTGACCTTACAAGAGCTTTGTCTTTTATTCTGTCTCCATCTGTTGATAGGATGACTTACATCTCCTGTCTGGACTAGCAGACAGGATTTAGGCGCCAATCCAGCAAACCACTTAAACAAGAGTTTAGCTTTAAGCCTTATAGCAACCACATTAACAGGTTAAAACAAAATTCCAATAACATTGCTGGCACACTATTGTTATCTGTAAAAGGAAATTTAGGAGATTAGATTATATTAGTACATGAGCTGTAAATGGAATAAGATCTGTTAAATTAGACATGCACTGAGAGTAGAAAACATAGATCAAGGCTTTTAGTACAGAATTTTAAGGGGAGGGGGAGATTCCTATTTTAATAAAAAAGGAAATCTATAACCTGTAAATATATATATCTTTATTTTTTTTAGATCAATGCTGCTTGAAAATGTAGATAGACTAACAGATTTATCACACATGTATGTAATAGTTTTCTTTGGACAAATAAAGACTAATCGTACAACCAACAGGAATTATGGCATTACCTAGTGTCGCTTTACAAAGAAATGACTACATGGCATGTTTATTAACAAAACCAGTGATCGCTGCAGTTAGCAATAGTTCATCTGCAGACCTGGAAATTATACTATTTAGATTAACAGTTATTAAGTTATTTCTCTGAAAATTCATTAAATCTTTGAAAGTGTTAATTCTGGCAGAAGAAGTCACTCTCCTTGTGAATGGATGAATTTACAGTTTTAAACTATTTGAGCTTATATTCAGCTAATGAAATTGATAATAAAATAAAAATTGGATAATTTTGAGCATAATTTATTTCAGCTTTCAATGTTATTGTAAAATTGGAAATGCTTTGGGTTTTGTGTTCCATAATGGTGACCTCTTGTGGTGTAAATATGTCAGTGTTTCAGAAGGATCTTTTGGTAATACATACTGGAGTAAGTTATATTAAATGCCATTTTTTTAATGAGTGGATAAACTAATAACTTAGCTTATCATCTTTTCCAGTTAACTGTCGATATGCTGATATCATATTCAGTGCATTTAAAGAAGGAAGCGTTTTGAACATTGTATTCTGATATACTTTGTGTTTATCTACACTGTATTTTTTAGTGACCAGATGAAAAAGCTGGGCACAAGTGCAACGTGTCCAAGGAGTACAGGCTGGAAAAGAGGACTAACAGGTACTTCCTAAAGCATTCCAGTCTCTAGTCAAAATAGTTGTTCTTTTTCATTGTTATATTTTTTCCTGTCCATTTGCAGATGTGAAATACAGTCAAGTGGAAATAATCCAAGTTTTGTGATTTGAAGATCTTTTTCTTCTTTTTTTCACCGAACAGTATTTTTGGTTTTCTAAATATATTGTCGTTTTTAGTGTTGTTAGTATAGAAAAACATTATTTAGATCTTTACTCTAAAAATCTATTGATATTTTCTCTCACGGAAATGCTAGTTTTCCCATACGTAGTCTTAAGAACTTACCAATAAGTTAATACTTGGTTGGCCAATCTGTTTGTGTAAACAGGCATAATTGCCCTGAAACTAATAACCCTCTGCCAGGCTATGTTAGCTGAAGATACAGATGTAGGGATGCATTTTCCTATTTTTACATAACAGATTTTAAATAATTTTTCTTGATAGCTGACTCATTTCATACATAGCAGGTGGTTTTTTTTGTGCATCTAGAGTAAAAACGTCAGATTTACATACTATTGCTGCTTTATTACTATTTTTCTAGAACTAAGCACTGGCCTGATTGTGGATCACTCTGGCAGAGGCTATGATGTGCTCCACTTTCACTGACTTCAGAGGGAGCTGAGAGTATTTATCATGTTATGGGAGTTAGCGTTCTGTGGGACTGTGTTTTCTCCATTTACAGGCCTCGTAACTGTTTGTGCTGTTGGAAAAACCATGTGTATTATTAGGTGCATTTCTTTTTATATTTACCTTTTTTTTTCAACATTGTATAGCTTCCCTGGTTCACACCTACTCAATCCTTAACCCCAGAATAAATGTTGGGATAGCAGTAGGAGCTCATAATCATTTATTCTCTATACTGGGAGGGAGTGCTCATTTACAGATTATTTGTATTTTCAGATATGATTGTGTTTATACTTTCACGTTTTAGAGAGGGGGGAGACTATGTTAACAATGATGTATTTGTAGCCACTCAGTATTCTGTGAAAGGGCTAAACATGATAAGTCAGGCAGTACACGGCTTTTGAAAGCTCAGTGTTGCTAAGGCTCTTGTATTTACATGCTAAAAACAGCAGCCAATAAATGTAGACCGATTAGTGATTTTCTTTTTTTTTTTCTTTTTTCTTTTTTTTTTTTTTCCCCCTGACCAGAATGCAAAGCTGTGGTTAAGACCTGTGGAAAACCTCAGACAGCAAAATCTTCAAATTGCTGAACTTTTTGCTCGAGTATTGAACTTTTTGCTTGAGTATTGTTCCTGTTGAGTTATAAATTTCCTCAACTAGAAGGTTCAGGACAGTTCCTGAAATATTTGAACTACAGCTAGTTCTAAAACTTTTCATCAGCACCTTTAAAATCTCCCAGGACTGAGACACGTGCAAGTTTACAATTTACTATTGTTTCTTTTCCTTATAATCGTACATTTCCTGCTAATTCTTATTGCTAGGATTAGTATTGTTTATGAAAAACTGATTATAATTTTTTTCTTAGTTGCAAGAGATACTAGCTTAAAGGAATTATGCCGTTATATGGCTTTTAGCTTGGTATATTTTTTTTTCTGACAAATATATCACATTTGGGGCAAAGAATGGCACAAAAAAATCAGTCCTTTTTGTTCTGAGCTAAAAATTGAAAGGCTTTGTCTAGTCTTTTTTCTAGTGAGAGGTTTGGTCGTATCGGTAAACACATACCTGAACTATCCTATTTGTTGCTTCATAACATTAGGCACGTGCATGATCAGAATGTCAGTCCCACCTCTCAATTTAGGAAAAACAGCTGCAGATTGGAAAGGAAGGAAATACTTGAATCAATATGCGGTTTTTGTGGCAGGAAAGATCAGTGCAAGCTTCTCTTGTGTTCTTGTTTGAGCTGTGCTCTTTCGTTATACAGAACAGAACTTTCGCTTCATTACAAATGCTGTGCAGTGTTTTATTAAATAAGCTACTGATCATAAAAAATCTAAATAAGGCTATCAACTCATTTGATTTAGAGAATAAAAAAAAGTCTGCAAAAGAAGTAATATAACAGCTCTATAAACCACTTATCTAAAAATACATACTTATACTAATATATCTATATGCACACACTAACAATATATCCTTATAATAATTACAAGTATAATATCTATGAAACAGCAGCATTTATGTATGATCTGTTTAAATAGATATAATTGGTAGATTTACACAGTGTAAAATATATGTAGAAAGTTATAGTTAATACAGATACACAGTAAAAAGAATCTTTTTTTTTTCTTTTTAAGAGCAACCTTGTAAAGTAGTCAGAAGGATTTTAATTGTTTTACTATTCAGAGTAATGCTCAGCACACAGTCATTGATTTAAGGTCTGAGATTAAAGTAGATTTAAGGTTCTCACAATGAAAACCTCTTGATATCAGTATTCTTAAATAGTACACTATATTTTGTGTTTGATAATGATTATTGTTATGCTTGGACTAGCTAAGAATATACATTGTAATTTAAATACAAGAGTTTGTGCCAAACATTAGGTGATGCTTTCTGACAAATATCACTTGAAAACATACATATTTTAGTTTTAATGACTTTGTTCACGTTATTCAGCGGAGTCGCATGTGATTTTATTTTCCTTTTAAAAATAATTGTTTAAGAAATACCCTGAACTTCAATATTGTACCAACAACTTTGGTTGTCTACTCCAGAACTCTAAAAAATGCCTCCTTGTTCCTTCTTTGAAAAAAGAATTGCAGCACAGTTGAGGTTGGAAGGGATCTCTGAAGATCATCTAGTCCAACCCCCCTGCTCAAGCAGGGTCGTCTAAAGCACATTGCCCAGGATCGCCTCCAGGCGGGTTTTGAATATCTCCAGGGAAGGAGACTCCACCAGCTCTCTGGGCAGCCTGTGCCAGTGCTCTGTCACCCTCACAGGAAAGAAGTTTTTCCTCATGTTCAGATGGAACTGCCTGTGTTGCAGTTTGTGCCTGTTCCCTCTCGTCCTGTCGCTGGGCACCACGGAGAAGAGTCTGGCCCCCAGCCTCGACACCCCCCCTTCAGATACTTATACACATTGATGAGATTGCCTCTCAATCTTCTCTTCTGCAGGCTGAACAGGCCCAGTGCTCTCAGCTTTCCTTCATAGGAGAGATGCTCCAGTTCTTTCATGATCTTAGCAGCCCTCCGCTGGACTCGCTCCAGCAGCGCCATGTCTCTCTTGTATTGGGGAGCCCAGAACTGGACCCAGCGCTCCAGGTGTGGCCTCACCAGGGCTGAGTAGAGGAGGAGGATCACCTCCCTCGACCTGCTGGCAACGCTGTTCCTAATGCAGCCCAGGGTACCATTGACCTTCTTGGCCACAAGGGCACGTTGCTGGCTCATGGTGAACTTGCTGCCCACCAGGACCCCCAGGTCCTTTTCTGCAGAGCTGCTTTCCAGCAGGTCAACCCCCAGCCTGTACTGGTGCGTGGGGTTATTCTTCCCTAGGTGCAGGACCCCGCACTTGCCTGTGTTGAACTTGATGAGGGTCCTCTCTGCCCAACTCTCCAGCCCGTCCAGGTCCCTCTGCATGGCAGCACAGCCCTGTGGGGTATCAGCCACTCCTGTCAGTTTAGTATCCTGAGCAGACTTGCTGAGGGTGCACTCTGTCCGTTCATCCAGGTCACTGATGAATAAGTTAAGCAATAGTGGATCCAGTATTGACGCATGGGGGACACCGCTAGCTATAGGCCTCCGACTAGACTCTCTGTCACTGACCACAACCCTCTGAATTCATTGATTCCTTTAAGGCTCAAGCTGCACAGGAACTGTGGCTCTACGGCAGTAGTAAGCCAGTGGAAAAAACCAGAATTCTGTTACTTCACACAGTGCCAGGTAAAAGTTAAAAGGGGGTTCAGGAAGCAGGTATAGTTCCCAGTCATACTGCATTCATATGAAAAGTCAATCCTGGAATGCATTTTTTAATAAACACTATTTCACTAGCTCTCTTAACCGATCTGAAAAAAAATCCAAGTTCTCAGTTTTTTTTCAAGAAGATTTCCAGGCTGCTGCTGTTTGTTTGGTCTATTGATTTTTATATTTTCTGATAGATGTTTTCTCTTCCTCTCTTCTATTCAAGGCAGACTAAGAAAAAACTGAAGTATTTAAAGGGAGTTCTCTTAGTGAAGTAGACTCTTAAGTTTTCTGATAATGAACAGCAGTTTTTTCTCATTCATTGTAGAGTAAATTTGTTGAGGGTAGCCAAGAAAACTGGGAGTTTGTAGCATTCAAACTTTCTGACTTTTTTTTGTTGGAGGCAAAAAATCTTTCAGATATGTGTAATTTGTTACTCGTCTCCCAGATTGCTGCGTAGGAAATAATCTAACATATAACAAAGAATAAGAGGGAAATGTGTATTTTGTGTAAATTTAGTTAGGACATCCTCAGAACTCATTGTATGAAGTGGTTAGGGTCACTGAGAGGGTATAAAAACTGTTAAGAAGTTTTCCCCGTCATTCTTGGTTGAAACTAAAGTGTCAATTAACCAAGCTTACTGTAATAAACTCTGCGTGTTTGGTAGATAAAGTTGTTAGCCCTAGAGGATTTGAACAAAAATTTAACATGTTTGAAACCCGAAAGTCAGCTGAAAAATAGATATGACATGTTGATGTAAATATAGTCATCATCTTCCACTTCAGTGATCAAATGAAACAGTAATTTAAAAAAAACAAAAACAAATCTTGATTTACAGTACGTTTTACATAACAAAAGATTTATCCAATCTAGTTTCTTTTGAAACCTCTTTCTGAGAAAGAGTAAATAAAAACAAAAGCTTGAATAGATCGAATAACCCAGAATACAGCAGCATATGATACTTTCAGGGTTTTTTGACTGATATTTGTAACGATTTATTTGTGTAGAAGTTGAAACCTCCACTGAATGTATGCTCTTGTTCTGAATATATTTTGAAGGCTTAGAGGATGACACAAGAGTAAATGAATCAGAAGAGGAAGAAAACTTTTGGCATGTAAAGATTCTACCAATTCTGCGTGAACTGGAGAAGGGTGGGTAACATTGTTTTTGAAAGTGCATTATTTTCTGTACTACTACCTACGGAAAGCATGAGGGAATCACCTATGTTTTCTGTAAAAGATGAACAGTAATCAGACTACTTAATTCATTATGCTTTCATATGTTCAGTGGCTTAACAGTGTAAAAAGTAAATACTGTTTTAGAGAAGTTCCTGTCTGATTAAATTAGCTTATCTTAGATATTATAGGTCTGTCAGTTTAGAAGTCAATGGTGAGATAATCATTTTAAGAAAAAAGTACTGCATAGACTCAGTGCTTTAAGTTTAGATTGTACTGAAGATCTGAATTGAATTTACAGAAGTAAAGTCTTAATGAAACACCTCAAACACAAATGGAAGTTAGATGTCTCAGAAAAGTACATAATAACTGAGAATATTGAAACAGTATTGAATAAATTAAGTGTGACTTGAAAGATTGAATCTTGAAATAACTCAGTCCATTCTAAAATTTCATTAATAAGTTATTTAGTTGCCTTCTATAAGTATATAATATTTGTTTGAACAATGGGAATATAGAGAGGAGACTCATTTGTTTTTACAAGCACAATAAAAATGAGTGTAAAATTAAGGGGATTGATTCTATTTTCCAGGATTCTGTGCAGTATTCGTTATAGCCTACTGCAGATTAGAAAACTTCTTGCGTAATTTTGTAGGCGTTGGAGTATGGAACACCTATGCAGGACTGAGTGATTCCAAAAATACATCATCATTTTAGAAAGAAAGGATTCTGATTTCCGCTTCTGTCACTGATATATAAAAATGCTGGTCAGAAAATTTGAAAATGGCTGTGTAACTGCATCTTTTCCTTGCTTAATGCTGACGTTGCCAAATATGAGTTCCTGAATTAATGTTTTGCATAGCGACATGCTCTTTGTAGGTGAGCAAAATAATACTGGAGTAAAATCAGCTTCTTGTGACATGATCAGAGCTAAGGAAAATCAGTGTTCATGCCTTCTTTCTTCAGTGTTTACCTTAAGTTATGACGTGTTTTTTTTAATAGTAGATGAAACTATCTCATACCGCTTTCTCACCAGCTGATATTATGTAGTACTGTAAAGCCCTGGAAGTTAGGGTTTTGCTACTTCTTGAATGTTCACGCTGATTAAAAGTAAGTGGATTGCATCATCTCCTGCAGCTACCTGGTAAATTGCTTTATTTGGGTTATGTACTGCACAGTTACAGTATTTCTATTGAAATGAGTGTTGGAATTCTGTAATTTTAGTGTTCTGAGTGTGTGCATCTATTGGTAATATATAATATTGTTAAGTTTGTGTACAGTCACTTATTTCATATTCTTTTAGCTAATCCTATACATGTTCATTTAGGTCCTGTTTATTCTTACATGTTAATATATTAACAGGAAAACCTTTTTCTTCCCCTTTCTGCCTCTAAAATATATGCACAAAACTTTCTACAAAAAAAAAAAAACAAAACAGATGTTTAACTTGGAACTTAATTATTATCCAAAATTCTATGAACGTCATGTGCTTTAGATGATTGTTACATGGTTAAAAACAAATACAACCCAAATAGATTTTGTTCTTTAGGAGCAGATATTTTATTTTGTTGCTTCTCAGTGCTCAAGGTATGATAAACTTCAAAAATGCCCAATGGGATATATGAGAAATGCTTTTTTTGTTGTTGTTAATTTTGCTGAAATGAAGATTGAGTAGAACCCTTTGTCTTTTGGCTCTGTACACTCTTGTTTGTCTGATTACTGGAGTAGAGGTGTTAGGATCGTGTCAAATTTTGCTAAATTTTCTTTCATAATGGGAGTAGAAATTGATTTGTCTTTGCATGGTGTTTTTTGGGTTTTTTTTAGTATGGTTAAGGCAAATCAGCTTCCAGGCACTGCTCAATATGAGAAGTGGCATCTTGAATCTACTTGCACCTTTAGGGTCTTACATATAGTGATTTTCCTCATAGTTCCATGTTCGTATATATTTTTGTGCCAAAAGCTTTGCCTCCTTGATTATGACTATTTCGTCTTTGAAGTGCAGCCTGAGCAAATGCAAAGTTTTTACAGGAAGTTTAGGTAGCTTTTTACTGTGTCACCTTACAGGGAAAAGCAAATGTAAAAATATTGATTTTTAAAAATCAGCAAGAAAGACTTTCCCTTTTCCCTCTAAAGTAAATGTATTTATGATTTCACTGTGCTGAGGCAGATTTTCTGATAACTTACTGCAGGTTTTATTTTTATATATTTTAAATAATGTTGGAAACAGTCAGGTTAGGAGATGGATGACATTTTCATCAGCAGACCAACTGTCCATCCAAATGCATGTTACCCCTCTGCTACGTACTAAAGAGTTCTAAAGAGTGTTTGCATTCAGTCTTTCTTGATCCCAGCAGCATATGAGATATAATTTATAGGTAAAATGCATAGGCAGAAAAATATTCCTTAACTCCCTGTTTCTTTTGATGTGTAATGTTTGGTAGGGCTGTTTGAAGAATTTTTTTTCTTTCAGATTCAGAATTTTTTAGTGGACATATGGTCAATCTGATTATTAAGCATTAAAGAAGAGTTTCATTTTAGCTTTCCGTGTTACTCCGGGATTGCTTAGCTTAAGACTCTCTTCTTTTGAAAAGACGAGCATAAAACTGTTTCTGCACAGTTAGCATTGTAACAGAATGATTAGATGCCTGATTTTTGTTGTGCAAGCTATTCTTTGTTTTGTTCTCCTGTGACTGCATCTATTGAGTTGCTCTGGAGAAGGTAGTACTGATCACTAATTTCTACATTTTTTTTTGTCTTCCTACCTGCCTCAAGTAGAAGACAATATAGAAAATCTTTGCCTGGCTTGCACCAAACTCCATCAAGCCTTGAACGAAGGAAATATGTTTGGGAAAAGACTTAAAAGAAAAAGCGTGCTTCTGAAGACGTTATATAAACTTGTAGACGTTGATTCAGACCCACTCTGCCTGAAGCTGGCAGAGATTATACTGTCTGTAAGTCTTTTAAGATGCTATTTTGTAACGTGGTAGGTTATAAAGCTCAAAATTGTGAATTACTACTTGAGTTTAATTTTGTGTTTAATGAACAGTTCGTTCAGATGCATTTAATACTTTTAAACTGCAATGTCTTCCTATATGGATACTTGTCTCCTATTTATCCAGATGGGCATCTGTTGGAGCATATTTCTTGCAGGGGAATTGCATCTAAGGGAGGAAGGAGGGACAGAAAACAGGATGGCTGGTGCATGCTGGCTAGCGTATTGCTTAGACAGGAAAGAGACATTGCCCTAAAACTGGGATACACAAGCAGTAGTTTAAGCAAAAATTATATATATTAATAGTAAAATAATAAGTAAAAGATGTAATAATAAATAATAATAATAATAATAAAAAAATCTAAGTGTGGAGATGTAGCTTAGTTTTTGAATAATATCTTCAGCTGATTAAACACCTTTACCTTTATCTGAAGATCTTTTTATGGCCATAGATGCGTAACCATTGAATCTTGTGCAGAATTTCTTTTGTAAGAGTAAATTAAAGAAAGAAAAAGTGCTACCTGGTATGCTACCTGTGTAAAATACATAAAATTTTTATGTATCACCTGTTTTTTTTTTTTTTTAAGTCAATTTGCAGGGTTTGTTCGATAGAGTTTAAAATAGCTAGGTATTGGAGTCCTTGAATTCTGCAGGCTTTTCAGTTTGGTTCATTATATTGTCAGCGTTTCAGCTGCGATTTTTGAGAGTTCTCATGTGGGAATAAAACTTTAAAATGATATCTTAACTTAAAACATTGTAGTGTATTTTTATACATAGATTTTTTTAGTTCTGATTCTTGTCTTTTATGCTCTTTTTAGATGAAAGTGAATGGAAAAAATCTTCTCAATGTCTGCAAGCTTGCATTTAAAATTTGCAGAAATGAAAAAAATGATTATATCATACAAAATGATAGATTATTGGGTATGTATTCTGTTCTTGTATATAAGATGTTGAAATGCAAGAGTTAGATTAATCATCTTTCAAGTCATACAAAAAAATTCTGTGAGTTAAGGTTGTCACACCCTAAAAATTGCTTACTAGATCAAACTATTCATTTGCTTTTTTGAACCTTCTGATTCTATCTGCCTGCACAATGTCCTAGAGGAGCAATTTCCAGAAGTTCTCTGTTATTTAACCCTATCTGCTATTTTCATCAAGTGCCCCTCGTTCTAGTATTGCAGAATTTTAAGATTTTCAGCTGTCAGCTTACTCTTCACCTTCATGATTTTGTAAACCTCAGTCATATATATGTCAGCCTTCTCTCTGTCGGACTAAGACATCCTACCCTCGCTTTTGGGTTTTTCTTTGCAAGGAAATTACTTAATTGTCTCAATTGTTTTAGTAGCCTTTTTCTATTGCTTCTCCAACTCTGCTATATCTTTCTTGAGATGTAGAGACTACCCATGCTAGTCAAGATGTGGCTGCACACAGGTTTTATAGAAACAAGATAATGCTGGTCATCATCAAGAAAGATGGTGAGAGTAATTGTTGGCTTTTTTGTTTGCTGCTGCATATTGAGCCAGCAGTTGCAGATAACTGTTAGCAATGACTCAAAGATCCCTTTTCCTGGATTTTAAATGTTTCTCCTACCAAGAATCTCTCGTCAAGAGACACTCTTATCAAGTGTTTAACTTATATTTCTCATATTTGCAAAGTAATGAAAAAAAGGTGTTGTATAAATGAAATTCAGTATTGATATTCATTCCTTTAACTTTCATTAAAACTGTATTATATCTTATTAACCTAGTTCTTGATCTTGCAAACATTTATTTCATTTACTAAGTTAGAGCATATGGGTAGCCTATTTAAATGAATGAGAGTGCTCATAGTGTTGAAGTTTAGTATATGCTTGTTGGCAGCAATGAAGACCAGATAAGTCTTTTCAGTTATAACATCAAGTGGAAAGCACTCGGAGATGAGAGAGCAACTCAGATTGCTCAAAGGAGTTTGGATGCTGAAAACCACAGTTTTGTAGAGATTAGCATCATTCAAGAATCTGGACAAGTTGATCAGCTATTTCTGTATAAGCATTAGTTTTATTTCCTCTTGCTTCCATCTTTAGTGACTTAGTGACTTTTTCTTTCTCTTGTTCTTCTTTCCCTGTCTCTTAAATTAAAAGTAGTCAAAGAAAGAAGGTGGTGTTTTTGTTTTTGTTTTTTTTTGCTTGATTCACTCTTTAGGGAGAGCATTTTGGACATACCTTATTCAGGCCAAGAACTTGAACCTGGGTCGTCTTCACTCCAGGTTACTCTTTCAACCTCTGGGTTATAGAATTAATTTTTTTTCTTCCTCTGGCCCTGTGAACTACTTATGTGCAGTGGGGAAGTTCCAACAGGATAAATAGATTAAGCATTCGTCGCCAAAATAGACAAAAACTGTTCAAGTCCCTTTTTGACCCTGGGAGGAGCAGGGATTGAAGCTGCTCTCACATTGCCATAACCGAGCATGACCATCATGCATTTGGTGAGAATGGGAGTTTGGGGAAGAGCTGGGAGAATGTGCACTTGCATCTATACACATACATATATTTTGAGAGGTTTTCAACCTGAGGTGACACAGAAAAATTATAGAAATTAATCAGGTTTAATGAGATAGCTAAATAAAACCATTTTCCCATATGGAATGTGTCTGAGCAGAAGTGAAAGCAAGTTTCAGTTATCTGGAGTTCTTGAAGTGTAAGACTGGTTAGGATTACTTAATAATCTGTGCCTCATTTTGACTGTGAAAGATACATTGGGTTTATGATAACGACTGTTAATGTTTAAAAACTCAGGTGTCTGACAATGGTTGGCTAAGGCAAAAGTGTTACAGTACTTGATCTACATAAATAGTAAAGCTGAAAAGGCTACAAGCAGACTTTTCAAAAGCAAGACTTGGTTTAGGCATCTGTGCTTTTAGTGCTTAGTTTGAGAAATTTTAAGACATTTGATTTTTCAGGAAGTACTGAGAATAAATCGACTGACAATAAGCCTCCTCAGAGTGTATCAAGTTTAGTATGCAAAATTCCAGGCACATGCAATCACATTCACAAATCTTGACTGAAAATTTTAACGGTTAGCAGTGTGTGTTTACAACGTATGCTGGTTTCCGAAGCCTGGGAAAACGAATTCAGGCCCTTTGTGTTATTCATCAGTAAGTATCCCTTGGTTGCAGTCCAAATACCCAATTTTTCTGGCCCAGTTGTTAGAAAAGTATTATAAAGAGTTTAATAAGAGTTCCTCTCCCCTTCCTCCCCCCCCCCCCCCCCCCCCCCCCCCCCCGACCATTGTTAATCTCTTCAAGGACTGGACTCTATCAAATATGTATACTAATATTGGGCTTTTTTGAATACTGATTTTCATTTTAGATTGTTTGTTGGAGGTCCTGAGAACTGAAGATCTACAAAAAAACAATGAGGCTTTCCTGTATTGCCTGGGAGCTATAAAATTCATGTCTGGAAATGCAGTACTCCTTAATGAAATGGTCAACAAAGGAGCTGTTGAAATGTTGCTGCAGTTAATGAAGCAGATTAATATTGTAAAAGAAAGTGATACATATTTCTCCAGTTTGGGCCACCTATTAGTCCAGGTTAGCATTTACTTTTTTTTTAATGTACACTGCAAGGGCAAATTAAAAATTTGATTAGAGAAGATAATCTAACTCTATATCACTGACAGAGTTGACCCTACCTTTGAATAGACTTTTTTTTTTTTTTTAAGATTGCATGAAGTTGTTCAGGAACAAAATTTAATTATGGTAGGTATTTGTGTGGTTAATCTTAGAGCCTTTAAAAAGTCTGAAATGAATAGAAATATTTATAGGACCCTAATAAAGCCATTTCTCTATTATTACTTTATAATGCTGACAGAGTACTGGATAGTATACCAAACCTTGGTAAAAATGTGTTGCCTTTCTAAATTCTATAAACTGAAATAATCAATCAGTACAAATCAGTTCTGTAATACACTAGATTAGAATAAACTTTTATTACAAGAATAGCACATTTCAAAAAATATAGGAAAATACAGTTTGAAAAGCTGTTTTTGGAGAAGTATGACTTAAAAGGGAGTTGTAAAAGCCACAGCAGAGTAGCTTTTGGAAGGCTGCAGGCTCAGAACTATCTTTTAAAATGTGAGATTCCTCTGTGGGTGATGGCTATGAAAAGTAATCCTTTGCTCTAAACATGCTCAAACCTTAGTGTTTTAGTGTTTTAGGAAAAAAATGTATATGTAAGTAAATCTTAAGGTATGGATGTGTGTGGTTGGTTTTTTTTTTTTTCTGTATTTGTCAAGGATTTGCCAGATTGCTTGTATTTGTCTTGGAAACTATTAAAGTAAAAATTAGTGAATGGTGTCATTGTAAGCTTTGTGAGGCTTCACAGGAAAATGAAATGGGCAATTTTCTGAAGAAGTGATTAACCTAAATGACAGATTTCTCTACCTATTTAACAAAGAAGTGATTTGATACTACTAGAAATTATATGGGAAAACAGATAGCTTATGTGTTAGTCTTACTGATGTTAGTGTGTCTGTTTTAGTGGAGCTATGAGGTACATTTTTCCAGAAGAGCAAGTACAATTTTATCCAAACACAAGCTAATTGGGAGCTGATACGAAGTATTGAATGAAATAGCGTGACTTAATTATTATGTCTGGCTATGGAAGTCCTACAGTGGCAAATTGCTAAAGACTGGGAGAACATATGATGAAATTGAAAATGTAGTGCTTGCTCCTTTCTTATTTTCTTTCCTATCTCATATTGTTATTCTTTTGTTCTCATATGAATCCAAAAATTCTCTTTTCTAGACTTTATCTTGATGATGTCATACCTTATATTCTGTATGAAAAACGTATATGGAATTATCAAGCATTCCTTTTTAAGAAAATTGTAGAAACTTCAGGTCTGCATGCAATCAAGATTTTCATGACCATTTTTTCTTGGATGCTGCAAGTTAAACTTTATAAGTCCTGATGCTACTGACACTGCTGTCTTAGACTACCAGTTTATGTAAAAACTCCATTTGGAGGAACTATTAAGTAGGAATTGATGGTCCAGAATATGTTCTGTTCTCAGTGTAATTTGTGGGGTCATAGACAGTGACTTAAAAGACCTAAACTACGAGAAAAGTTACCTCACGTGAAGAGTTAGTTTGATGCCTTACATCCAAGAAGCTGTGCAGTCATTTCATCTACTGGATTTTTAGGCTGTAGTTTTGCATAGGCAATTCAAAAACAAAATCTAAGTTATATATCCTGTACCTCTTTTCATGCCTGTGTAGTTTAAAAAAATCTTTCAGAGTACAGACAGCAAGTGGTTAAAACCAAAACATGCTGCTTAAATACGTTTTCTGGCTACTTTTGGCATTAATCATATAATGGGAATCCTATTGAGCAGAAAGAGGTGGAAATTTATGTTAAATAAATACAAAGAGAAGTTTTTGCCAGTTCGAGCCTTTAAAAATAGGAAGCAATGTCCAAGTAATTAAAAAAAAAAAAGTGAATCGGAGTATTTTTAGCTATTTGACTAGAGATCTGAACTTCCCCACCCCTTTGCAGGAATGTTCTCTCTCCCACCCCAATTATTTCTAAGTGGGTGAATTTAGTTTTAAAATTAAGGGATTAGTTTGCAAATGTACAAAAAGAAACTAAAACATTATACGTTTGTGCTTTGGTCATTATCATCTCTGCTGCTTTCAATATGATTTGAAGTGTAGCAAAAGATATCTTTTGTATAATTTGAATAGACTGGCTCTTTCTAAGAAGGCCTTGGGAATTCTTCTGTGGAAAAGTCAATACTGACAACTGTCTCTTCTCTGTAAAATAATATTGCTACTGAAGATGCTGTTTTACTTTTTTGTAGCTCTTCTAGAATAGTGAAGACACTTCATTTTTCTTCCCCTTGTGAGGAAAGCAGTGATTCCTGCTACTATGCCACTTTTAATTGTGTAGACAAAAAGTAGGAACAGTTTCATTATAAGCAATATAATACCAAAGAAAATTTCTTCTGTGCTTCACATCTTCAGAATAATGACAGTTTTTGTGGCATACTTAAAATTGTAGTGAAAGATCAAATATCTAATGACACATAGAAATAATGGATAAATGCTATTCCGTAAGAATAGAGGAACACATGACATTGGAGGAGAAAAACACCTTAAATATCATCTATAAGGGCGGCTCATAAATAGATGAGGGAGGTGTTTTGTTTTGTTTTGTTTTTTTCTCCCCATCATCTAATGTGTAAGTCCCTTTGCTGGAGTCAAAACCTTGGCTTGGGTTTCAACAGCACTTTTTGATATATGGCTTATCATTCATGTTCTTTATTGTGAAATTTAGCCAGAATTCAACATACATCATCCTAGGCTGACTCTGAGCTTCTTGTATACGAGAGCTGAATAGAGTCTTCTGTGTACATTCCATTTGGCATGAATTTTTCTGCCAAACACTTTGAGTATCAAAGTATTTGACTCAGAATATTTTATTTTAAAATATTTCCACAGTATTATGCTGATTTTTTAAGTATCATGACTTAGGAAAGAATGCATAGCTGGGGACCTAATTTTTTGCAGTTGCTTAATTAAAACAACAAACGCCCCTCTACCTCTCTTCCTAAAATATGAAGTAAAAATCAATGGCTTCCATATCTTCGGTTATTGTTTATTCTGAATTATGCATTGCATGTTTGTTGCTGAAATTAAATCCGTTCACATATCCCACATTTTTTTAACCTGTCTTGCTAAGCTGTTTTGAGATTATTCCTTCTCCTATTGTTCCGTTATAGAGCAGCTGGAAATGTGTCTTCATTCTCTGACTTGGCTTTGTATTGTATATACAGCAATCTAAACATTTGTGGGGTTTTTTTAGACTACATGTATTGCTTTTGTAGGTGACCATACTCTATTGTCACTTTTAAGAAGAAGTGTGAGGAGTATGATGGCTATGAAATTGCTTTACAGAAGCCATTGAATAATTGAATTGCAAAAAATTTAAACATGGGAAAAAAGTAATTCCCTCATAGAACAATGACAGGAAGTGTACTAGAGAAAAATAATCAGAAGATGTGTCAAGAATTAGAAAGACCACAGAATGCCCCAGTGATTCAGACAAGAAGAGCACAATTAAGAAACTTTGCAAAACATCTTACAAATTTTTGTGTGCATGCTGAAGCAAGCAGAAATAATAACAGCAGAGAAGGCCAGTGAGTTGCCAACACTCGAAACAAAGCAGTATTTATTGGTTTAGTGTATTAACTGGGTGCTTATCAATGTCTGGCACAGAGTGTAATTAGAATATGATCATTTTGTAGCTAATTGCATCTGTTGTTTACAATTTAGTAAAATGTTAACTGTCTGTTAGAACTACAAAGCACCAAAATGAAGTGATATTGAAAAGAATAAAGAACTTTTCATAGTACTCATTGAATGGAGAAATTGCATTATCTCTATGGTCTTTCTAAACACATAGTGTTTCTGACTGGCTGTAACTGTTCTTTCTGTGATAGTTCAGTAGTTCTGATGATGGACCAGCTCTGAGGTTCATTGATGAGGTATTAAGGGAAACGCAAGTTAGTTTCCAGCACCTTGGTACATGCAATTATTGTCCCTTTTCCAATATGTTTCAGTAGAGTTTGTTTCTAAGCCACGCAGAGGTTGTGTGACACTGGTCAGTAATAATAAAATTCTTGATAAAATATCAAAAAATGAGGCAGTATGTTGGAAAAATGTTACTAGTGCAGTCTGAAAACAAGGTGTTCCATAAGCAGTGAATCTGAGGCAGCCTGGTTTCAAGGGGATAGGGAACCAATATGGGCTCATATGAGAAATACGCTTTGATCATTTCTACCAGAGTATTTCTGGATGTTTGTAGGGTTTCAGGAATGCTATGTTTGGAGAGTGGAAATAAAGCTAAGCTTTCTTTTTTGTTGTTAAATGAAAAAATTGCTTCATTAGAAACTGCCCATCAGGTGGAGAGTGAAAGAAGAAATGCAAGAAAGTTGTTCTTGATGGTGAGAAATGATACAGTAATACTCTCATAGAGTTAGCGCTGCTATTGTGGGCCTAGTGGAGAAAAAGCCACTGGTAGACGTCCCGCAGGACTGGAAGGAAGTGGAGAGATGATTGCAATATGTTATTTTTGTAAAGGTCTTTCAAGTTAGGTTGAGTGTCAGTCACAGAGCTTTCCTACGATCTGGGTCTGTTTCCAAGGTTTTAGATTCCCCTACCATTTCTGCTTTGCAAAAATTCTGTATTAATGAATTTCCTCAGGTATTTTTTTTCCTGTTATTGACTCTAAACACTTAAACATTACAGATCCATAGATGCAAAAGCTTTTCCATAACAAAAATAATTACAGAGTATACTTTGTGATGCTTTCTCTTTTGGAAGCTTATTACTTTCATTTTTTGTCCTGTACTAGTGTAAATAAACAAGACCCGTGGGATTTGAAGGAAATAAAAAGTTCTTTGAGCATTGATCACTGACATTTGTTTTTGAACACGTTTGTTTTTTACATGCCTCACACAGCAGTGCTTCCAGCTCCCTTGCTCAACATCATCTTCCTTTAGCAGCCCTCAGGCTCTTTCTCGCTTTCTATGTTGAGGAGTATAGCTGGTTTGTTGCTGCACGGCTGCAGAGCAGTGAGGAAGCTACTACTTGTTGGAAGTGCCTTTCTCTTGATAGAAATACTAATTGATGTCTCTTTCTGCTGTGTGGCCACGGTTTTCCTAAAACTGCTAGTAACTTAAGACATGTACATCTTTGTCAAATTTGTTGAAATTGGCTAGCAAATTCAGAAGCTGTTGGGGAATGGAGAGGGTAGTGCATAGGCCTCATATATTTTTAAGAAAGCGATTTGCAAGTGCTCTATGTAATTTTATTCTCTGAGCAAAAGTTGCTCAAAGGCATCAGCTTAACCTGCTCTTTAACAGGGCAAGGTTTATTATCTACTCTTCCTTTAAAATTAGCAATTACATAATCACTGGACAAGCAGTCCAGCCTAATGATAAAATACTTTATTTCTAGAGATTTTTTGATTAAAAACATTTCATGTAGATAGTCTTTGTGCCTTATCCAAATACATTCAAGTGTGTATTGAATATTAATACTTTCTTCTCAGAATAAGGAAAAATTGAAGATTCTGTGCATTCACTTTAGATTAAATGACCTCACTTTAATTTTAGAGTAAGTTTCTGGTTTAGATCAGCAACTAATTTATGTGTCATTGCCTGTCTGACCTAGGTATTTAAATACTCTTACCTTGCAAGAGAAAAAGATTCCCAGAGTGTGCAATAGATGGTTGTTCATTTTGCCTGTCTACAAGTGGTAGAATGTTTTATGCTTTAAATTCCTTGAAATAGAACAGTATCTTCTGAAAATCACAGAATCACAGAATGGTTGAGGTTGGAAGGGATCTCTGAAGATCATCTAGTCCAACCCCCCTGCTCAAGCAGGGTCGTCTAAAGCACGTTGCCCAGGATCGCCTCCAGGCGGGTTTTGAATATCTCCAGAGAAGGAGACTCCACCAGCTCTCTGGGCAGCCTGTGCCAGTGCTCTGTCACCCTCACAGGAAAGAACTTTTTCCTCACGTTCAGATGGAACTGCCTGTGTTGCAGTTTGTGCCTGTTCCCTCTCGTCCTGTCGCTGGGCACCACGGAGAAGAGTCTGGCCCCCAGCCTCGACACCCCCCCTTCAGATACTTATACACATTGATGAGATTGCCTCTCAATCTTCTCTTCTGCAGGCTGAACAGGCCCAGTGCTCTCAGCTTTCCTTCATAGGAGAGATGCTCCAGTTCTTTCATGATCTTAGCAGCCCTCCGCTGGACTCGCTCCAGCAGCGCCATGTCTCTCTTGTATTGGGGAGCCCAGAACTGGACCCAGCGCTCCAGGTGTGGCCTCACCAGGGCTGAGTAGAGGAGGAGGATCACCTCCCTCGACCTGCTGGCAACGCTGTTCCTAATGCAGCCCAGGGTACCATTGACCTTCTTGGCCACAAGGGCACGTTGCTGGCTCATGGTGAACTTGCTGCCCACCAGGACCCCCAGGTCCTTTTCTGCAGAGCTGCTAGCCAGCAGGGCAACCCCCAGCCTGTACTGGTGCGTGGGGTTATTCTTCCCTAGGTGCAGGACCCCGCACTTGCCTGTGTTGAACTTGATGAGGGTCCTCTCTGCCCAACTCTCCAGCCCGTCCAGGTCCCTCTGCATGGCAGCACAGCCCTGTGGGGTATCAGCCACTCCTGTCAGTTTAGTATCCTGAGCAGACTTGCTGAGGGTGCACTCTGTCCGTTCATCCAGGTCACTGATGAATAAGTTAAGCAATAGTGGATCCAGTATTGACGCATGGGGGACACCGCTAGCTATAGGCCTCCAACTAGGCTTTCACCACTGACTACAGCCCTCTGAGCCCTGCCATCCAGCCAGTTCTCAATCCACCTCACTGTCCGTTCATGCAGCCCGCACTTCCTGAGCTTACCTATGAGGATGTGATGGGAGACAGTGTCAAAAGCCTTGCTGAAGTCCAGGGAGACAACATCCACTGCTCTCCCCTCATGTATCCAGCCAGTCATTCCATCAGAGAAGGCTATCAGGTTGGTCAAGCATGATTTCCCTTTGGTGAATCCATGCTGACTACTCCTGATCACCTTCTTGTCCTCCAGATGCTTAGTGAGGACCTCCAGGAGGAGCTGTTCCATCCCCTTGCCAGGGATGGAGGGGAGGCTGACAGGCCTGTAGTTCCCTGGCTCCTCCTCCTTGCCCTCTTTGAAGACTGGAGTGACAAATATCTTCCTTTCTGCAAAATAAACTGGAGGACTGAGGCTGTTTCATTTTTATGCTGTTTGAATACCAGATTTCTCCTGATCTTGATTGACTTCTAAATTTTTCAGTCAATGAAAATAAACTATACTGTCTTTTTATAACAATTTCTCTTGGTTTGCAACTCCAGCTATAACTTATTATCAAAATATATTGGATGTCTCTGTTAATTTGCAAGACTCAAATATAGATTTGCAAAATCGGACATTATGCAAAAAATTACTTTAACTATTCACAGTATTTCACTTAAGTTTCAATTGGAATGCATGCAAAAATTTAAAACTTGTGCAGGATAATGTTTTCCTCAAAGGACAAAGTTACATGCAGGCAAAGACCAGTATCAGTCTTTCATTTTCAGACAATTATTTTTTTATACATAATTCTGTTACTTACACGTTTACTGTTACCATTTCACTGCTAGGTACGTATGTGCAGAATGCAAACAAAACATTCAAACGGTCTTGGATGTTACAAATTAGATCTTTGGCTTTATTAAATTTTCAAAACAGTGTGGATTCGGTAGTAAGCAGGTATAATTTATTAATGTTTAAATATTCTATATGCAGCTGACAGCTACTTTGCGAAACCTGGCTGATTTACCTCAGGCGAGATGCCAGCTCATTTGCAATAGCGCAGTCTCCGAGCTCTGTGTGGCGCTAGAGCAGCGTATGAATGATACAGACGTATGCACCTATATTGTCAGGATATTCAGGTAGGTATAAACGCAATTCTCTCTACTTCTCCATGCAATCAAGTCAGTGTCATTGTTTCAAGTGACTTCAGAGAGGGCGGAGTACTAAAACTGGAAAAGATTTACTTTCATTAAACTCTTTTTGTAAAGCCCTGTATAGTTTTTAATGATTTTGTGTGATAACTGTATCTTTATTAATACTGATAGAATTATTTTATTGCAGCTGTATGATCCCACAGATTTAGACTGAGATTTTTAAAATACCATTTCTTATATTTTAAAGCTGTATAAATTATTACTTATTTATTAATCTTATTTTTAGACCATATTTTTAAGAAATCAGTGAGAAAAATTATACAAGCTTAAGGTCATATTGGGGACTATGATAAAGAATAAAATACATGAGAGAGAAAATGTGATTCATGTGAATGCGATTCAAGTTCATGCGAACACTGAAGTGTGTTCATTGTTTTGTGCTGTCACAGAAAGTTTGGGGAGAGTTATCTGTGGGATTGGGACTTGAATGTGCAGAAAGCGCTGGAACAATCTAGTTATGTGAGCACCTCAATGGCTGTCTCCCAAGATGTGCCTTTTTGAGGGAGATTCATGTGAGTGAATCACCCAGAAGGATCCTTTGTACCCTGCATAGCCTCTAAATAGGAAAGCTTGCAGTGCCCATGGGTAAATGGACTTGCAAACAATTTGAGGATTTTGTAGAATCTGAAATAAACTTTTAGTAATTTCAGGAGAAGTTGGGTTGTAAGCACAAGCTAGGAATACTGCTCTGGGTAAAGTATTTTCTATTGCTAGTTTGTTACCGTCGTGGGTCATGTTGCCCTATGGCTCCACATTTATTAACAAGTCATACTGCTATTGACTTTTTTTCCTGTTCAGCCACTCCAAATTATCGAACGCATTCTCTTTGCCAGGTGAGCTTGAGTTGTGCTTTGAAGAGCAGCTACTTAAGAGTCTGTCTTGCCCTCCTCTCCACAGTTAAAAACAGGCAAAATCTGGTCCATTGCAGTTTACTCCTAGTAAAACTGGAGTACATGCAAATTGCTTCCCCAAATCCATGCCAGCATGTCCACAGCTGTGTCTCTAATTTTGTTCCTATATATAAGTCAAATTCTGTCATAGATCACAGCGGTTTAAGCGTATTTACTTCTTCTGAGGAGAGAATGTTTCTTTTACTTGGTAAAATGCCATAAAAGGTGTGGCTAGGTGGCTAGTTAGGTAATAGTTTAATTATAGGTAACTAATACTTATGCTGCAGTTCTCAGAAGGACATTTATTTGATCTAGAATTCAATGTGCAGCAAAAGTGATTTGTCTTACTTAGTTTCCTGCTGCTTCAGATTTTTTAAAGTTTGGTCAACTCTGTGCTCTGAGGATACAAGTTTGCCATAAAATCAATTTAATTGGCTTCTTGGAAATTGCAGTTGCAGGAAAAAAAAAGAATTTGTGCTATGCAGTATGGAACAGAGATTTGAATGTTGGTCTATCTTCTAGTAATATAGAATGATTACTCTTTCCTCTCAGCAAGTAACTTCTAGGAAGCTTCCTTGTAGAGAAGATATTCAAATCTATTCAGATTATTTGTATCTGTTGTTATAATCTGTTGTAACTAGACATCAACGCAGATATTTGCTGGTTTTAACTACATGGGAAGTAAAAGGTTATCTAGTTCAGTCTGTTATTGCAATATTTCTGGTATGATCAAAGCATATCCTTTCCCATTTTTTTGTAACGGTAAAGGTGTGCTATGTCGAACTGAAGCAGCAGCAGCATTAGGTAAAATGGAGAGATAATGTCATGACTGCCAGAAGCCGTATTCTCCATATTTGCTGATGAGAGATGTGTTCTGTTAGTACTATCATTGGGCTGTCCTAGACATGCATTAGCAATGAGACCTTTTGTTCCTCTCCAGTCTGACTTCTCATGTCATCGTAAAATTATGGGTATTGTGTTTAACGCTAAGATGTGCTAGAGTTAGCATGCAGTGCCCATACGGCAAGTAGGTTGGGAAGCTCCTTATGTTCACTTCTTGCTGTAAATCACTGACTTAAGGATAGCTAGACTTACGTTATACTCTTATAGCTCTATGCCTCTAGTAGAGGACAAAATATTTGCATTCATTTCATTTGTTAGAAAATATGGCTCTGAGGAGAGAAAAAAAGCTCACATTCATTTATACTTTATTTTTGTACCTTTATAGCAAACTTTCTTCCTACAATGACTTCTGTGCAGCTTTGGCAGACTGTTCCAGATGTTTCGTCTTATTTTTAGCCCTGCTAAACAAACACCAGAGGAAGCAGGTCAGTTTTTTCATCTCTTGATTTTTATGTATTAATCCTCTGATGTGTCTGTGTATTATTGGGGATAAGCCTGTTTTCAGTGACCTACTTCTATGCACATTTACCCAAATAAAATTTTTTAATGGTTGATAGCATTTCTAAGTAGTAAATAATTGAAATGAAATCATTTTGATTTAAAAACTCAAAGCAATACAGAGAACAGACAGTCGATTAACTTGTCTATCTTCACATGTATTGAAACAGTCCTCTGGGTACTTAATTGTTTTCCTTAGTTTTAAAAATGCACTTTTAAAAGTAAAGACTTTATTTGAATATTTAATGGTAGAAAATCATGGGGATTTCGCCTGCCCTATCCCATTGCAAGAGAAGTATAAATATTTTCAGAGCTAAGCAGTTTGAAAGGAGGGGAAAATTTATTCCTTGATAAACTGCAATGTGGTGGCTTCAGCAAATACCTGAGAAATATATGATGTCTTCTGCCAAAGGAAACCGTGTGTCTAGGATACTGCATTTGGAACATGCACCTAGAAATAAGTGCGAGTTTGACAACATGCCTCAAATTGCTAGCTAAAATTACAAGAGTATACTTGCTAGCAACTTTCTTAGGACTTTCGAGGGTCTAGTGCTTCTGTACTGACTGTTGCTGTATCTTTCCTATGCATAGCGGAGCACCAGGCTTTGGGAGTTTGGTCCAGGTTCACAGTTTTAAAGATTGCTGCATCGGCAAGAGTGGAATACCCTGTGTATGGCAAATTACTCAAATTTTACTTAGCAATAAAGCTAAGAAGAAAATAATTTTTGTGTAAAGCACTGGTGTTCAGAAGTGGAACAAAGTTAATAGAAAGTTAAATCTTACTAAGATTATCCTTAAAAGTAGGGAACTTCCTTAGCTGCTTCAGCATCTAAACTGGTTTAAGGACATCTAGTTAGCCTACACACTTTATCCGAGGATTAGCAGTTCCTGGCGAATTGTTAGAAGGAGGTCTTTTGTGCTGCTATTTTTAAAATCAGTTAATGATGATAATATCAGCTGAGCTGGACAATCTATCTCCCTTTTCTAGTCAAATATAACAATGTTTTCTCCCTTTCGTGTTTACCGGCCTCCTTGTTTTATGTGATAGTGCACATGAAAGAGGGAGAAAGATTACATTATTTCTGTTTTTCTAAATGTCTGTTGATGAACTTTTCTGCGGCATACCTGAGCATTCCTGGTTTCAAGCTGCTCTTGCACTGTATAGGCTTCAAAAACACTTTAGTAGTATGTTATGGAAATAATCTGAGAAATATCAAATGCGTGAAATTTTACTAGATTCATGGGTATTTTTCTTTGTGAGCATTGTATACAAGCTAAACATGAAAGAACAGATGACAGGACTGGAAATAATGGAGCTTAAATTGAGTAACATCTTTCTCTCAATCTTCACCTGTAATTTTAAGGGGAACTTTTCTAGGCTCTTGACATAATAGACTTGTGCCATAAGGAATTCTAGGCTCACATGTAAGTTCCAATTGTTTACTGAGAGGTAACTGTTGAGAAATCTGCTTCTCTTTTGTCGTCTTTATTGAATCGTTCTAGAATATCTCTCTATTTACTAGATTAGCATTGCTTTTTGTGTTAGATACTGCCTCTGTTGTATCAAAATATTAACTAACAAGGAAATAATTTGTATTAAGTTATTATTTTGTGATGATTATATACGCAGTGTTTTCAGAATATTTTTTTTCTTACTGTCGTTTTTAAACACACATGCAACTGTTGGTTGTCAGCTTACTGAAGCCCTGCAAAAGCGGGAAGAAGGACGTGTGTAATGCAGTGCACCATTTTTTTTCTGCACAATGCAATAAACACTTGAGCTGTGAGGAGTGCATGTTTTTCCTGAGGTTGGCACTGCTAATCTTTTTTTTTTTTTCTTTTCCTCTCTTATGCTGACAGCTAGTGAGTTATAGAATGAGTTTATATCTGTTGAACAGAAAGCAAGTAGCAGCAGTGTGAATGAAGTTGTCTGTTGGCGAAAGAGGCAGCAGCAGAAGATAAATCAGTATTGTTAACTCAAAGCATTCAAAATCCATAAAACTAAAAACCAATATGTAAAGATGTGTGTGTATTTTCTGAATTTTCAGATCACAAAGGTCATGGGATCTGTTTTTGTTACTTTTTTAATTGGCAATTGTGAGAGCTAAAAGCGTACTGGGAAATGCAAAAAAGAAAACCAGCATTCAGACTTTATCAATTGCTTTCAAAAGTGTGATTATAAAAATAAGCATTAAATATTGTGAAACTAGGACTGGAAATGTGATTAATGACTTGCTCCCACACCAAACAGTGATTTCCACAGCTGCCACCCAGCTAGTCTCTGTTCCTTTCAGCACATTGCAGCCTCAAATCTTTTCTTTTTTTTCTCGACTCATTTTATCTCTGGGGTAGAGGAGTAGAAGGAATGGGAGAGCAGTTAATCAGTTCGGTGAGAAATATTTTGGGGGAAACGGAGTTGGCAAGGCCTTAAGTTCGTGTTCCATACTCTTAGGTAAGGAGTATACAGGATTGGAACAGCTGGATCCGCAAGGTAGAACTGAGGAATTCACAGCACTTTTCTAAGCATCTGGAGTACATGTTCAGTGCAGCTTTACTCGTACTTGGTTTTGGAGCTTACTTGCGTGGGGGAACAAAAAAGTCCTTGCTGGTTGCCAGGTGACACAAAAGCTGTCAGAAGAGTTCTTGTGGAACCTCTGTCCTGCAGGGTGAGCTTTGTTTGCTTCTGCGCCTAGTCAGCTTCGTAGTCTGTTTTGCCCATCTCCAGAAGTCTGTGAACAAACTGCTGCTTCTCCTTCCAGATCATCATCTTCTAAGCTTTTCAGGTAAGTTATATAAAGCGTGACTTTCTCCGACTGTGGTTAGGATTGTGCACAAGGAGCTTCCTTTTGGAACAGGAAGATTGCATAAATAGGGCAGTACCTTCTATCAGTCAGTCGTGCACTGTCTGAGTTTAGGTGGACTTTTGGGGCCCTACCAGAATCCATGTAATCTTTTATCAGTGTACGGTTAAGAGGCTATTTTCAATCTTAATGTGCACGAACACAGGGTGTGATACTAATATTTGCATAGATGAAATCTTGTGCCTGTTGTATAGCCACAGAGTTCCTTTATAGTTCAGTGTAGCCTAAGTAGAGTTTGATTAGAAAACTTTTTTTAAAGCATCTGAGTCACTGAATGCAGCACTTGCCTATCAAACAAAAGAATAATCATGTTGGGTCCCTCCAGAGGCTTGTCCATCCTTCCCTCAACAAGTGGGAAAAATCAGATGCCTAGAGCAGAGCAAAAACAGGGCAAGCTTATGTGATACTCATCATGTGTACTTTCCAAAGCTCCAGCTATTTTCAGTTTGAAGTCTTCCTCAGCCAGATGTGGTTCCCCATGTACAGAATAAACCTCAGTGGACTTCTCTTCCACAAACTCCTCCAGTCTGCGCTGTACCCCATACAAACTTTTAACATCCTTAGCATCCATTGGCAAGGAGTTCCCATGGCAACTATGCATTGCACAAATAGTTTCCTTTTGCTTGTTTTGAATTTAGCCTCTACTAGATTTATTTGATACCCTCTGGTTCTTGTATTGAAAAAGTTGTTGAATAGTTGATCCCTAGTCACTCATTCCACACCACTCCTGACTTTCTAAAACTTTATCAGTTCTCCTTGTGTCTTCTCCAGGCTGAAGAGTCCTTGCTTACTTAAGCCCTTGTTTACTTAGTTGTCTCTGATGTGGAGGCTATTCCATACCGTTATGCATCCTTGCTGCTCTTCTCTGAACATTTTACAACCCTGCATCGTGTATCTTTTTTTGAGATGAGGGGACAAGACCTGCATACGACACTTAAGATGTGGTTATACCTTAGGTTGTATATTTGCATATGTTTCTCTGTTTCACAGTAATTCCCAAAATTGGATTTGCTTTTTTGCTCTCCTGTGAGCATTAAGCTAGCCTCTCATGGAACCCCCATGAAGAGTCTATCACTAACCCCAAGATCCCTCTCCAGAATTGTTACAGTTGATTCAAGCTGTAATTTTACATGTGGAGGTAGGACTGTTCTGTATCTTCTCGTTTTGTGTTTATCTGCATTTAAATTTCATCTACCATTTTATTACCAGTTACTACACGTCCTTTTTCTGTTCTTCAGTCATCAATCATCTTTACTACTTTGAATATCTTAGTGTCAAATTCCTATACCACTGCTCACCCACTTTTCTAGGTTGTTTATGAACATGTTAAACAGGAGAGATTCCAGCACCAGAACCCTGTGGAGCTCCACTGGTCATCTTCCTCCATTGCAGGAACTAATAATTTACTGTTTTCTGTCTTCTAATCATTTCCTGTACCAGGACATTCCCCCTTATGGCATGACTGGTTAGTTTCATTAAAATTTTGATGGATGACTTTGTTAAAGTCTCCTAGAAATCCACGTAGATTGTATCAACTGGATCTTCTTTATGCACATGCTTGTTGATCCCTTAAAAGAACTCTCAAGAATTTGGTAAGATCAAGATCTTCCTTTACAAGAGTCTTAAAGTAGATTGCATTTATCTAGGTGTCCGCTAATTGTGTTGTTGTGTTTGTTGTTGCTTGTTCTTTTTAATGATTTCTTCTAATTTATCTGGTACAGACATCAGGCTTCAATCTCCCTTGCATCCTTTACTTATAATAGATGTCATTGTTGTTACCATTACAATCCTCAGGCATCAACGCAGTTTCAAGTGAGGGATTGCACATCACTGTTATTAAGCTGTTTAATTAATGAGTTCTTTTAGAACTCTTGAGAGATTATCATCTGATCCTGATGATTTGTTAGTGTTTGTTTTTTGTCAGTTTGTTCCTTAAAATTGTTTATGATCACTTCAATTTTGGAGAGACCCTCTGATGAGCCTTCCCCAGAGAAAGGCTATAATCGTCCTCTCTTTCACACTGAACGTGAATCAATGCAAACGACTCATTTAGCTTCTCTGCAATG